ACTGGGAATTGAGCCTCTTAAATCTATAAACCTCATTTATATTTTCGGACTCGTTTTACAGTAAACAATGGAATATTTTCAGAGTATTTCCATGAATTGAAGGAATTACATGGCCACAGATGAAATCGTACCCAAAAAAGTTTGAAATTAAGGAATAAGTAGATCATTATATATTAAACTATTCTGCTGAAGTGGAAAAAAAGTTAAAATTTGAAAGAAAACCAAGTAATTCTAATCCTGATAACTTATGCATAAACGGGATTCATTTGCCTTTTGAAAAAAGGCTGGCTTATTTAGGAAGTCTCTGATTTATTTTAAATGACTTAACCTTCTGTGTTCATAAAGCCTGAGAACAACAGCCCTTGAAGTGACTTCACTATGTGAAGATCCCAGAGTCCAATGAGCAGAAGTCCTGGGGACTTAGTGCCACAGAATTCTTACGTAGTTTGCATCGTCTTTGTAACCTTGTGGTGAATATTTAAAACTTTTGATTTAGTGTCCTTATCTTTAAAAATGGAGTTAAAACAGCGACTCTTCTCACAATGAGGTATTATGAAATAACTCCTTTAAAACTGCAAAGTGCTGATTTTTAAAAAGCTACGGAGTGGTGCTGACATATCTCTGCCTGCTTTTTTAAGGCAGCATATTGTATTCACAAAGTGATAGCAAGGGTGTGTGATAGCAGTATGTCACTTAAAACATTAGATAAATAGCAGTAACTATGATAAATGAATTCTGTATTATGTTTATTTCATTTTATTTCATTGTATATGCCAGTAGCCAAAAAATTGGGGAGATTGCTACTTAGGAAATCTGATTTTCTGTGACTTTTTTCTTTTTGACAAACACATATTTTAAGTTCATTACTATTCTGTTATTTAACTAGCATCTAAGATGACAGTTACTGTTAGTTTATTAGTGTATGTTTTGGGTATCAAAATACAGTTGACTTTTCCGATACCACCCCAACAAGAAATTTTGTTTACCCTTCCTAAAATTGGAATTTTTACATGATTAATATAGCCAAAACAGATTTTAGAAGAATACTAAAAAATCATATTGCTCATGCTCTTGGAAGGGTTTAGTTTAAACGCATCCCTTTTCTGCAACCTGAGCATCTGGTATTTTCAAATTAGGCACCTTCTAAATTTGACTCATACATTATGGAAATCTGATGACATGAGGGGTGGATAGGCTTGCTTTGATTTTATGAAATATTAATCATAGCTGTGATTAATGATTCAGCATTTCACATCTGGGTTATTCCTGTCGTATTTGAAAATTATACTATTAAATACAGTATATAAACTTAGTGTAGGTGGGGTCACACTAATTCTCTAGTGTCCTTTAAAAATTAAGTGGAAACTTAACAATATATCAGAAGCTACCAGTGATAATCTGTGATGTTGACAGTTCCTGGCATATTTTATACCCTCAGGGATTTTTTGATGCAGGTTAGTACACATCTCTTCGGGGAGCTGAAGCTATAGAATCTACTTTCCAGAGAGCTGTTGTCTCTAACTAACCAAGATAGGATCTCTAGAGTGGCTTTATTATATAGAAGAGAAAGAATAAATAGAAATGGTACACCAGTAAAATTGTTTCAATTGTTAGACTCTTGAGTGCCATACCTCCCCCCTGCTGTCATTTCTTGACCTTTACTACAGATCAGGCATTGCGCTAAATACTTGATGCATGTTTTCCTATTTAAAGAAATGTATGGGGTGGCTTAATGAGAATTATGTAATTCGATGGATCACAACCATCAAAGTGTAAGCGTCTGCCGTAAATGAATAAAATTTACCATGTTTGAAATTTGACGTGTACCATTCATGGGTGGTTTTCTCATAGTCCACATTTTTTTCTCATTATTTCACTTGTACTACTTCCAAATGATTATGGAGCTAAATATAACCATGGAAGGTAATGACAGTGAAAAAAATGTGAAGAAGAGTGTGGACTTAAAAGTCGGTCCAGAGTCACTGGAAAATGATGATGACTTTAGCAGTCCACACATTGACTTGAAATTTGACCATGAGGCAGGTCAATAATAATAATAATAGCTATTATTATTATTATTTCTAGTTGCCATAGTTATTCCAGAAACTAACAGCCTTACAAACAGGAGAAGGCATCTTATTACTGTTGTTCGCATTACTTGGATTCGCATTTTTTTTTAGCTGGATTTGAAAGATACAACATCTCTGACTTCCGTACCCTCAGAACATCCAGACTCTGGAGCAGACCAGAGAGACTGATGCCATTCCTTCACCAGAGCCCCGAGGTGTAGCAGTGTGGCTGGGGCCAGCCTGCTGACAGCGGGGGGCCCGGTGCACAGAGAGAGGCCGTGTGCGCTGTGTCTGTCTACTTTGTACAAGTGGGGTGGGATTCGTCTTCTGGGTTCTTGTTTCTTCCTTTATTTTACCTATTCAGAGCATTTGAGAATTGCTTTCTAGAAACAGGTGCACAGAAATTGTTCTGATATGGTATCCAGGTGGGGTCACAATCCAGTATCTTAGCCTTTTAAAATGAGTTAAAAGTCAAATGAGACTTTACCATTCTTGGGAGATAAATTACAGAACCAGTCAAATGAGGCTTACCAATTCTTGGGAGATAAATTGTAGAATTTTAAGTTGAATAGCGGGCATACATACTACACGTGGATGGCTCACATTCATTTTTGCTTTCTTTGGGGGTAGACGGTTGTAGTACTGCTGCTGCAGCTGGTGGATTTGTGCTTTGGGTATAGTTGTAGAGATTGTTATACTTAATATGGACACTAGAATAGAATTAACTGAATTTGTCCCTTTGCTGTATTATGTTGAGCTAGATTCTTGATACTTCTAGTGTTTAGATCCAAACGTCAGTGTATGTAACTCAGGGTCATCATTAAAACAGATCAGTGGGCCCCACCCCAGAGGTTGCTCATCTGAAAGTCTGGGTTAGGGCCTGAGAAATCACAGTTCTAACCAGTTCTACGCTTATGCTGCCGCTGCTGCCCTGGAAACTTAACTTTACAGTTACCGAACTGGTGATGGTTTCACTTTGTTTGAGATCCTCATGTACACTGTTAATGTACGCACGCTGGTACAGACAGAGACCCATACAAAGGGACACTTCCCCTTTTCTTAGAACAAACTCTGTCAGCAACCTCTGGCAGTTTAATCAGAGCCAACAAGAAGTTGCCCTTCCAAAATTTGAAATTATTAAGACTATTTGAGAGATGGGTGAACATGTCTACAGTGACAAGTTGTGTCTTCATTATCTGACAGTAAGTAGCTGATGATATTGGAAGGTGTCATGATCAGCAAGAAAAAAATGTCATTTATATCATCTCTGGCTCATCCTTTGAAAATGTCTACTCATTAGGTATCAGTATGGTAGATTATGTTAAATTATAAGTGAATACACACATATTGGATGTGAGTCCTCAATGAAAATTTGTTCAGTCAAAAAACTGGGAGACAACTTGCATGATTCTACTTTTGTAAACTCATTTCCTGGAAAATGTATTTTATTGATACTATTCATTGCCAGATTATTGCTTTTTACAAGTTCTAACAAAATGGCAGTTTTCCCCCCGGTTTACATTACAATTTAACAAGTGACATACATTTACAGACTTTGTTGGAAAGTAAATTAATGGAAACAAATCAAATAATGAAACAAATATAATAGAAAACTTTTTAAGACATAGACTAACATGGTGAGGACTTAAATATTATGTAAATATTGAATACTAGATAAGTAATTCAGTTGTAAATATCATAACTTTGCTGGTTAATTCCCTAAATTTAAAGTGCATATTGCTATATAAATTATGATTTCTTTATTTTTGTTTGTTTGTGGAACTTAAAGGAAAATAGTTTGTAGCTTTCTTTGGTGTTTTCCAACCTCACTAGAATTTTTTTATGGAGTAAATTTCTTACAGAGTTATTTAAAAATCAGTTAACGTATGCTATTATGTATGATACTAAATTCTCATTGAAATTATACTACCATCCTTTAGTTTGAGTGAGAAATAGTATAATTAAAAAGTGTTTTCAGTGTTATTTGCTGTGCAGCTAGATTCTGTGAGGAGGTCCCTTCTGAAATGAGGGATGCTCACAGGGAAAATATGAGTAGAAGTCATAATGTACTGTAGCTCTTATTTTAGCGTATATATTTTTTATTTGCCACAGGAAGCATATGGAAAGCTACTAGAAGCAGAAAAGCATCAGAACCAGTTGCAAGCCAAAGGTTTATTTTCAGAAAAAACTAAAACCAAGTAAGTTCTTCTCTCGCATTAAAATACATGCAAAATTTGAATGAAAAACATGCCACTTGTCATTGGTGGTGTTTAGGCATACTTAAAGCCTAGAAGTGTGTTCCCGATTTCAGCATTGATCATTAAAGTTAGGGGTCAAAATAACAGGCTGGTTTTTTGTTTGGGAAGAAGTAGATATTACAGCTGTTATTTTTATCTTCATTCCAGATTTATGTATTAAATGGCACTTACTTTTGAAGAGGAGATCCTCAGAATTTTTGTTTATATAGCTGTATATTTACTGAAATACCAAAAACAATTCAGGCATGTAAATGTTAAGATTTGGACTTCCATTGGGCAAACAGTGATAGGTTAGATCTGTCAGCCCGGTGCTTCACTACTTCTTATGCAGAAGACATGAGTCTTTGAGAATCCCTTGCTGAAGTCGTGCATACCACTGCTAGCTCTTTATTTGGACTTGATTACTACTTTAGTCCTCTGGCAGGCCAACGTTGTGTCCATTGCTTCTCCTTTGAAGTAAATAATGAAAAATAAGCACAGTGTTAATTTTTAGGAAACCTGGTAGCTTGGTGTATCACATGAGTTCCACAAGAGCGTGTTTAAGTCCTCCAACAAAACATTTGCTAGACTGGATGTCTTTCCTAAAGTAGAATGAGGGAATGAAATAACACTTCTCAAAAATAGTTTACTTAGGTGAAATTTTAATGCTCTAGAATACAAAAATTTGTTTCCCAATCAAGAATCGCTACTGCATGTGGGATCTTTTGTGATAGAACTCTAATTGCATGGTTAATTTAAAAGAGAATATATGTGATATTTTAACAGAGACCTGATTGGCAGCAGATGGCTGATTAAGGAGGAACTAGAAGAAATGTTAGTGGAAAAACTGTCAGATCAAGATGTGAGTGATTAATCTTTTAAATTTAAGGGGACTTGTGCCGTAAGAATGCAGACAATTGCTGTATTTAGGATCGTCACGGTAATGTTCCTTAGAGGCAGGTGTTCCTAAGACAGTTTTCCTTTCTAAAACATATGTATAGTTGGTTTCTGCCAAAGGGCCTTACTGTGGTCAGGAAGGTGACATGCCTCCTGGCCAGACCCTCCTATCCACAAGTGCCCTCGGTGTCCTCCGCCGGCGGTTCTAGGGAAGCGCAGCAGAGGTCAGTTTTCATCTCCTTCAGTAAAGCCGATAGCTAATTTTACAAGCTAATGTAAGGAGTTATCACAGGTGAAGTAGAAAAAGAAAGGAGCGCATGGTCGCCCTCGTGCAATTTGCTGCTCCCTGGCCTGCTTGTGTGCAGTATCTAGAAGGGTGGTATTTTTCATCTTGGAATCTGAGAAACCACCTATGTCAGAATCACTTAAAATGCAGCCAGAAAACTGGTTAGAAAATGCAGTTTCCTAAGAATTCAGACCTCGCTCAGAATTTCCAGGGGTGTCACCCAGGAATTCTTCTTTTTAACCAGCTCCCCAGGTGAGTCTTATACCCTATAAAGTCTGTGCCCCCTGCTTTAGGTTTTCATTGGAGTGCTCTTTTGCTAAAGGCTCTAATATACGCCAATATTATCTGAGGAAATTTGATGTTTTAAATATGCTGATATTCTAAATTTAGATTATTTCTAGAAGATTTGAGTGTAAGTTTCACAAATTGTTCCAAGAAGGATTTTTTCTTCCATGGCACTGGCTAACATTGTTAGTACCTTGCCACCCGTGTTGATTTTAAGTCATGTACTTAAATTGCGCTTTTTTTCATTTAACATATTGGAGAAATTAATGATTTGGAAACGTTGCAACTTGCTTAACAAGGTGTCAGGCATTTGGTGAGTGGTAGATCTGGAGTTAATTTCTAATATCCTAACTGCCAAGTCGCTATTGCTGCATTTGGATCTAACCGAAAAAAATCTCTTCTTTGCTTCTTCATTGAATGTATCATTTCATTGTTTCCTATGTTTTCTGGCTGCTTTGATTTTTTTTATAATACAAATTTGTTTTTGGGGGTTTTTTTTGTTTGTTTTTCCATTTTGAAAACATCCCAAGGACTTCTTTTTAGAGGTGTGCAACTGGGAAGACCAAATATATGCATTTTCCATACATACACATAATGATGTATGTATCTCCTATACATAGACAGTAGATGTGTGGGTGATAGTCTGCTGTACTTTTGGGGTACTGGATAGCAGAAGAGATCCTGAAGTTGCTGGCTGGTATCAAGATGGGGGAGGCAGGGACTTCTTAAACCTTACCCCTAGCTCATCAGAAAGGCCATGCCAGACTCGTAGCTACCCCTCTGTACGTGCATAGTCAGCATGTGATGGAATTGAGAGAACAGCTGAGAGCAGAGGGCACAGGCCCAGAAATGGAGGGGAAGAACAGAGCTGTGTCAGTCCAGGTACCGCAGGTGGCAAAGTCTGTCACCCTTACCTAGAAAATTCCCCTCTCTTTTATTGTGACAGCACAGGAAGCAGTAATTGAAGCAGTCTCTTAAAACTTATGTTGAGATTTCTCCACATTTCAAATCATTAATGGCAGATGTTCACGATAAAGTCAGAGGCAACAAAGAGGAGTATGATTTTTAGGGTTGACAAAAACACAAATAAGGTTATCAAAAATTGGGTCTCACACTCCACATTAAGGATCTCGAGTATTAGTTGTCTCCTTCTGCATAAACACTTTAGAATGATTACTCTGGCGTCTAATTTTAAGGGGTTAATACCAAGTTGTTTACTTTCTAATCACATGTTCGAGAACTATTAAAAAAAACGCACAGAGTAGCAGGGATAATTTATTTCAAGAGGTTGCCCTTTAAGTCAAGTATCTCTTGAATTTTTAAATAGCTTGATTGTTCGGTTTTAAAGGAAATCATAAACATTAAAGTAACACAGCTTGAACAGCTAAAGATATATTTGCCAAATGTATTATGAAATATAATTTAAGAGGTACATTTTCTCAAAGTCAGACTCTTCCCATTTTACTATACATAACTGGAAATTATTTTTAAACCTCCTCTTGATCCAGTTAATAAAAGAGTAGAAATTACACTTGAAGATCATCTAAATATTTTTTGAAAATGAATTTAAATCTCAATTTCATGTAATTAAAATACAGAGAAGCTGATTTTTCTTTGCTTGGTAAGTCTCTTTTGTTTCTCAAAAGAAAAGATTGGGCACTGAGGGATACACAGGGGAAGTGTTGCGTCTGCATGCTGTTTTAAAAGCAGCATGAAGGTGCAGGAGTGTCATCCTGTCAAAATTCATCAAGAAAAGCAACATTGGAAAAATCAGGTATACAAAAATAGAAAAAATTTAGCAAATGCAATTACACTTGCATCTTCTAATGAATTTTTATTTTATTGTCTGTAGTATGCACAGTTCATTCGGCTGCTAGAAAGGTTATTGACACTGTACAGTGGTGCCGAAGAAGAATTTGTGCAGAGATTCCGTAGGAGTGTAACTATTCAATCAAAAAAACAGCTGATTGAACCTGTGCAGTATGATGAGCAAGGAATGGCCTTCAGCACCAGCGAAGGTAATGACATTCCGTGGAGAGAAAATAAATTTTGTGAAAACTGAGAAACAACAATTATTTTTATTTGCTATCACTCCCTGGTATTCAGTTGGTCCATTTGTTTTTTGCTACCGAAACATTGAATTTTCTAATTTTTAAGACTCTGTTGAAATTTCAAAAATCTGAACCTTCTCATGTCCCAAGAAAAAATGTGGATGCGTACCTACCCCATCTTGTTGATGCTTTTTATTTTTAGACTTATGTTAAATCTTTTTCACATTTTCAACTGGCAGAGACAAAAAATGTTTGTGATAAAGGTTTCCCATCTAAAATGAAAATGCTCAGGGAATCTGGTTGTTGGATACTGAAACTGTGAAACGTGAAAACTTGAGGTCCTCAACCTCACATCTTCCTTGGAGCCATGCAGACTTTCGTTATGATGCAGCTTTTAAGGCCTGACCTATTAAATGATAAACCTGCAACTCTTCACAGTGGAGCATTCTTCCTTGGCATTTCAACTAATGCTTTCAAAGAAATGGGACCTTTCCTGAGGATTCTTTTCTTTTTTACCAATTATATTTTATTATACTGTTCATATATTTTTAAAAGTTACATGATTAGAAATACTTACTGATTATCAAAGAAGAACACTGTAAAGTGGTTGTTTTTCTAAAGTAACGTAAATAAATACGAATTACTTCATTGCTCATTGAAACTAGTTTTAAATCATTGTGGTGTTCCTAAAATGGAGTTGAGGAACAAAATTACCCCATAATAAGCTCTATTGCATCGATAATGGTGTAGTTTGCCTGTTTTATTTTTGTTTGACTTATAATACTCATAGAACTTTACTACATATAGTGTAATAGTATATTGTCCTTCTGGGGAAAAAATATAACGTCGTTTTACCTACCCCATTCACCTCGAAGATTTTTACTAATAGAAATTCTGTATTTACAAAGGTAAAAGAAAGAGTGCAAAAGCGGAAGCAGTTGTTTATGAGCATGGAAGTGGAAAAATAAAAGTAAATGGAATCGATTATCTGCTTTACTTCCCAGTGACACAAGACAGGTTTGTTTCTCATTTTGCGTTTGCGTTTTGTCTTTATATTAAAAAGCCTTATGATTTTCTGATTATATATGTCTGAATGATTGTTTCTCTTTACCAATGTAATTAAATCAAACTAGCTAGAGGGAAGCTGTCACTGTTTTTTAAATGTGATTTTCCAGATTTTGAAAAAGCATCTCTAGAATTCCTCGTTAATTGAATCTTCCTCCTCTATCAGATCCTACTGGAAGTTGAGTATTTTAGATGTATCTTCCTTTCTGAAATGCAGACTATGCCAAAATGAAAGAAAAGTAGATTCCCACCTTCTGTTTCCCTAGTTGGGGGGCAGATGTGCACAAAACAACAGAAACCAACCTTGGCCCTTACCAGCATAAATATTAGAAAAAGTCTGCTTTATCGCTCTGGATTTTTTTTGCTACTCAGAGGAAACTGATTACATACTGAGCAAGCAAATCTAAACCTGACATTGATGTGTTAAAACAAGAGCTCATCAGGCTTTGCTTTAGTTCCCAGTGCCAAATATGGCAGTTTTATTTTTTTGAACTTTGTATCCCATGGAGAAATAGACATTAATCATAAATAAGTATTACAATTCACGTTCTCTAAATATGCTCATCTTCGATCTCTGTGAGTCACTATCTAAAGGCTTACTCTTTTGGAGGCGGTTATTATTTTTCTAGTAGTTACTGTCATTATCCACAAGTAACACAAGTTCTGCATGATTAGGCCCTGTTTCCTGAATGTGTAGTGCGCTATTTAAGGTGAAAAGAGGCAAAAGCTCCGCTGATCCCAGTGCTTATGTAAGGAAGAGAGGACCCTGTTAATGTCGTGCAAGTTCCTGGACCGAATAATGACTTCAGGAAATGTATGTTTATTTTATTGGTATGTGTGTCTGTGTCGAGGAGTAACCCACTCTAACTCCATTCAAATGGAGTAGGCTAATTCTGCCATCCTTCTCACAGGGAAATGGGTAGAGGAAGCTCTTCTTTCCCTTAAGAAAAGCCAGAGAGAGACCCAGAACGTCAGCACTGGAAACTGCTTGGAGGAATGGCATTTGACCAGTAATAACCTGTTAGTTTACTTTCAGATATAACTCCTGATGCTTTAACCATAAATCTCAGTTATGGCTTGAACTCATAAATCAATAGGTATCCTTAGAACTTACTCTCCAGTTTGAATTCAGCAGGCATTTACTAAGGACGGTCTGTGTGCACCGTCTTGTTCTGGGTGTTGTGACGATATCAGAGCTATTTAAATATGATTTCTATCATCAAGAGACTTCCTCTCTGATTGGGAAGCCTAAGTGAATCTTGGCAGAAATGGGCACCCGGACCATCTCGTCATCTTAAAGTGGTTGTAGGGATTGTGCTAGGCTGGCCTTCCCACGTGCAGGAGCAGCCAGGAGCTTACAGATTCAGCAGCAAGGTGACCACTGACCAGCAGGAAGACAGCTAAACTGAGAATCAAGTGATCTCACTTCGAGTTCTGTTTTCTAGCTGTGTGACCTTAGCCCAGATACTTAAAGGTCACTTTGCTAGTTTTTAGGAGAATTGGACTTGATCTCTCAGATGCTCGCCTACAAGTCAGCTGGATGGCTAGCTCTCTTTCCAGGGTCCTTTCTTCAGGCTGTTTGCACAAATAGATCATTGGGAATGAACGTTGACTGTGTTGCCTTCCCAGTGCTATCAGAAAATTTTTGTTCATTCATCCATTCACTTACACAACAGACATTTATTACTAAGTGCCTAGTACTGTGGAATACAAAGATTAATAACCCTTCTGATTTGGAAAGTCCTTTGCTCTGTCAGGCAACCACTAAAGTAACTCTTAACTGATCATCTGTGCAAAAGAAATACGTTCCTCACACAGCACTAGCCGTGTAATAGGGGAGATAAGGTTAGCATTCTAAGCAATTAAAAATAAATAAGAGCATGCATTTGTACATATGCTAAGTTATATGCTTTTGAATTGGTGCCATAAGGAGTTCGTTCAGAGAAGATGGAAAAGGAGATTGTTTTATATTTTTTTCAAAGTGACTTTGATTAGATAATAAAGAACAAAATAAATTTGATTCTTTTAACTCAGGATTCTGTCTGAGATGCCTGAGAGCAGATGAAGACTGTTTTTGCACGTATTTGTTTGCAGTCCAGATTAGTTAAAATCGATAGCTATATATAATCTTCTTCAGTTGTTACCCTTTGGATCACACTTACGTATCAGTTAAGTTTTCTTCCTTAGTGTGCACCCACTTCCCAAATGTCCAGACCCTTCTTGGTGGTCTGTCTTACCTTGACCCCTGGTTCAGTCCCTCTAGTGTGTCTGGAGTAGATTAGAGAATGTGTTCTTTCTGAATTTGTCTCTATTTCTTTATATAAGCATTTGTTAGGGAATCTTAGAATTTTAGGAATTAACACAGGTAAGTGTTTAAGCTCCCAAACAAGTGGGTGACCAGAGCTGCACTGTAATGTCACTAACCACTTACCTGTGTCAGGCAACACAGAGTCCCCCCCACCCCCCACGCATGTCTGCGTGTCAATCCCATAGATTCTGTCTTGGCCTATCTTGCCCTGCTGGAAAAGTGGAATGGTGGAATTACATTATCAGTCTCTAAATTTTCTTTAGTTATTATGATAATATGGCTATTACTTAGAACAGTATTTTTTTTTTTAAAGATTTTATTTATTTATTTGAGAGAGAGAATGAGAGACAGCACAAGAGGGAAGAGGGTCAGAGGGAGAGGCAGACCCCCCGTTGAGCAGGGAGCCCAATGCGGGACTCGATCCCGGGACTCCAGGATCATGACCTGAGCCGAAGGCAGTCGCTTAACCGACTGAGCCACCCAGGCGCCCAGAACAGTATTATTTTTATAACATTCCTATTTTTGATTTGGTTGCTTTATTCAAAAAAACAATACGGATTTATGTTGTTTCAGGCCCGTGTTTGTTGTTGTTTCATCCCTGTTCAAACAACATCCCTGTTGAAGCAGCACTATTGCAGATTCTAATTAACTGTGTTCTTGGAAAGTCCTGTTCAGAGAGAAGGTTCTGTCCATCTGTCTGCATGCAATTATTTTGCCCGTGTAGCTTGAAGAGTAACAGTCGAATGTAACTGTCCATATCTGTCTTTCAGCATCACTGTGGTATAAGTTTTATTTAAGGTCTAGAAAGCTACACTGTCAGATAAAGCAAGTCAATGCAAAATGAATCGGCTTTTCTAAATATTCAGTAGAGCTATTGGGGCAAAACAGCAAGATCAGCGTAACTGACAGACAGTGGTGATTGGACCTGGTACATAAATGGTGTTCAGCAGTCCCTTGCTGGGTTGAGCAAGAGAAGGTCGGGCGGTGTTCTGTCCGTGTTCCATTCTCCAGTGCTGGGGTGCCTTTGGGGCCCACGCAGGCACAGAGTGCCGAGGGAAGTGGGCCCAGCTGGTGGTGTGCACTGTGTCACGTGGCACCTGCCACTTCAAGAACCGGTCATAGGAGCAGGTGTTTCGGAGGTGGGGGGTGGGGTCGGAGTTGACTGTGGCTCTAGTAACTGCCAAAACCATGTCAGGATGAGCATCCTACATTACACAGATGTGTTACGGTGCATTTTGTTTAGTGAATCTAACTGGCATTGGATAATCGATCACTGAATCCCAGGAGATTCCGCTGATGAGTGGAATTTCCCAACTTTGAGACTTCTTTACCAGGTTATTTTCAAGCTTCGCAAGGTTCTCATGAGAGAAAAGGGCTCAACTGTGAGAGGGTGTGTATTGCTCTATCCAGGAAGAAGAAGAAACGTGGCTGTCCGCAGAGCGTTCTCGACATCAGAGACACCAGGAGTTGTTCCTCTTACAGGTTGACTGAAGTATGCGTGCCGGTGTGCCTGATTGGCTTTCTGTGAATGTGGACAGTGTGAGCAGTTTGTAACACAAGCATCTCGATAGTGAGCTCCCTGTCCCTGTGATGTGTTCTAGAGAACAGTTGATGTTCCCCTTCTGCTTCCTTGACCGGCTTGGAGAACACGACGTGACCTGCACAGTCTCGGGGGGTGGGCGGTCGTCCCAGGCTGGAGCCATACGCCTGGCGGTGGCAAGAGCCTTGTGCAGTTTTGTCACCAAGGAAGAGGTCGAGTGGATGAGACAAGGTACGAGCCGCGTTGAGAGTGGCGGGGCGGCGAGGGGTATCTCCGCCCGATCTGTGGTGTTCCCTGGTTCCTGCACCAGTCCCCGGAAATCAGAAAATACTCTGTTAAATACGCGGCATTGCAGTTTGCTGGCTTCTCTCTGTATGCTCCAGAACCATACCAGTGCTTTTCACTTCTGATTTCTGTGAAGTGAATTTGAGCTAGAAAAAGAAAAGGAGGCCCTCCCAGCATCAGGGAAGGCTTCTTCTGGCCTTTAGGGCCTAACTGCTTAACCAGCTTAACAAGCGCTGCCCCGTTGTGTTTAACAGATGAATCAGTGACTGTTTTTGTCTTATCCTAGAAACTTGTAACTGTTCGATGTGATGATGAAGCCTATACTGTATCTTTCCAACATTAATTGGAGATTTCCATTTTTCCACTGTGATGTGACTTTGAATTTTATGTTGTCTTATTCGCTGGGTGACTCTCACCTCGTCATGAATATGAGAGTCTGCAGTGTAAGAAGGAAGAGGCCGTCAGTTTGTTCATGAGGGCACTGCTTTAAGCGCTTACGATAAATCAGGGCGGTTCTAGCTGGACCGTCTTCGAACTGTTTACGAAGGGAGGAAAGCACTGGGGGCACTATGACCAGCTGTGTGGCCCCGGGCGCGTCACTTAGCGCCTCTGGGCCCCGCAGCTCCTCTCTGGGCAAGTAAGATGGCTTGCCCTGTGCCCCTCCCGCGTGAGCTGCTGCGGTCCGATACTGCGCTGCAGAGAAGCGCCACTCACGGCTTAGGCTAGTTGATTCTTTAAGTCTCTTAAAAATCCATTTGCTTATTAAAAATTTACCATTTTGTACGATTCATGTCTAGTCATTCCAATAACTTACAGGACCTTACTTCACAATTCTGCCAGTTTGACTTAGTGGGCATATTGAAAAGTAATAAAGCATTATTACTTATAATCCAAACTAGAATTTAGACAAGTGTTGTCTGCATTTTGTCCAAAATATTTATTCCATGCCCTTTTAAAGACAAGTAAATGCAAAAACGTAATGGGTGTACAATGAGTGATTGAAGTTTGCCTTTGCTTTACGCCCATTCAGATACTCCTAATAAGATAACCCCACCTTGTCTACAGGGAAAAGCAGTGCTAGTGTTGGAAGAGTAAAAAAGACAAGGAAAAACTATGGTCTGTTTACGTATTTATAAAAGCATTGTAAGAGCTTTCTCATCACTGGTATTCTCGAAATCTGTGGTTCCAGCCACCACAGGGGCACATTATTCGGGGCATATGCTGAGAGTAGTGTGTTCTAGGCTCATCAGTTGCCTAGAAATTACCCGCTCTTGATGATTAGGGAGTGAAAACTTCCAGAAGTTTCTTTTCTCAGATAGGTTTGACAAGTCATACTGTACCTGTATGTTTGTATATTCATGTTCTCAAATCTACAGTGTCCGTCGACTTCCTCTTACTCAGCCATGTAGTGTTTGTTGTCTGCCTCACGTCTCCGTTGGAACTTTCACACCTGTAATAATAAGCAGGCAGTGTCAGTGCCGTCACAGTGAATAGTGACCACCCACACGTGAGCAGACTTATCTTAAGTTGAACAGGCTTAAAAACCTACAAGGAACCACAGCCCTCATAGGAAGAGAAGAACAGACTCAAACAATGCAGCCGGTGTTTGTCTCCAAAATGGGGGAACTATCCTAAAAGAGTGAGAGCAAACTGCTATCGTGAGACTTACACCAGGCTGGTAAATTATTACAGGTCTGGTTGCTTTCCTGTAGGCAGCATGCATCTCCCATGCTTCATAAAGGCTTCTCTTTCTACACCGCAGCTGGACTGCTGACTGCTGATCCACGTGTCAGAGAACGGAAGAAGCCAGGCCAAGAGGGAGCCCGCAGAAAGTTCACCTGGAAGAAGCGCTGAGTGTTCTTTCACGGGCGAGGAGAGGAAACGCCGTGTATATGTGCTTGGCATGCGGCAGACATACAATAAATATTTGCTGGCCAGTGTGAGGGCAACACTATCAGGCATTTGAGTTGTGAGATGATTTATTTTTAAATGCTACTTTGTAAAGGTTACCTTGTAAACATAATTTTTAAAAAATATTTAGCTTCATTCTGCTGCTTTATTTTTCAGAAGGTCGTTTTAGAAGCATGATTCATAGAACCTTGGCATATTAGATCTGAAAGGAACATTCAACAACATCTAGTCAAGTAACCTCATTTTGCAGATGAGAAGGCCCAGCCTCCAAAATGAAGGGACCTACCAGAGCTACACTGCTAATTTAATGAGGGAACTCATTTCTCCTGATTCTCTTGTTTTCCCATATAGCCATTGTTACAACATATTTTTCAAAATGAGGGGCGAGAATGCTTGTTCAAGAGAATGAAGTAAGTTGTGAGGGTCTTTGTCAGGAGCCAGAGAGGACTGAGCTGCCAAATGTTCAAGGAGCGGATTCAGACAATAGGCCAGTCTCCCCCCAGCCCCTGGCAGCCACCACTCTACTGTTTGTAGGAGTTCAGCTTTAAGATGCTACATACAAGTGATACCATGTGGTTTTTGTCTTCATCCAGCTTATTTCCCTGAGCATAATGCTCTCCAAGTTGGGTACAGGCTTTCAGCTAGAAGATGAATTAGTTCTGAGGATCTAATGTGGGGATTACGGCTGATAATTCTGTATTATATAATGGAAATTTGCTTAGTAGATCTGAAGCATTCTCACCAAAAAAAAAAAAGTGTGTGTGGGGGAAACCATGAGGTGATGGATAGGTTAATTTACTTCATGGTAGGAACCCTTTCACAACCCGTGTGTGTGTACAATAGTCCCCCACCGCCTATCCACAGGTATACATTCCAAGACCCCCGGGGGGGTGCCTGAAACCACCGAACCCGATACAAAACGGGGGTTTTTTTCTATACATAAATATCTGTGATAAAGTTTAATTTATAAATTAGGCATAGTAAGAGATTAACAATAATAATAATCAAATGGAATAGTTATAACAGTATACTGTAATAAAAGTTATGTGAACGTGGTATCTCTCAGAGTACCCTGTTGTGCTGTACTCACCCTTGTCATGATGGTGTGAGATGAGGAGATGAAGAGAGGGGAAAGACGTGGGCATCGGGACACGGCGTTAGGCCACTACTGACCCTCAGATGATAGAGCAGGAGGAGGACCAAGTGCTCCCAGACTGTGGTGGACCACGGGGATCTGAAAGCACAGATAAGGGGGGACTACTGTATATCAAATCGTCACATTGTACATTTTAAATGTATTACAACACTGAATTCTACCTCAGTAAAGCTGGGAAGAAAGCCGAGTGAAATTAATAGTGAAGTCTGTAACTGCTTCCTGCTATGGTATAAGCCAGGGACTAAGCAAGGGATGCGCCCCCCAGCCCACAGAAGGCTCCGCAGAGGTGCCTGCGATACAGAGGCTCTGAAGGAAGGTGGGTAGGCCACGAGTTCACGTAGGTGGAAGAGCGAGGGCGGGGGCCAGGGGCCGAGTCCTTGACTATGGGTCCCCCAGAGACTGCCACACACCAGCTGTCCACAGGGCAGGGGTGGGGAGGGCCGCTTCCCTGGGACAGCCTCTGTAATTGCCTGCACTGGGTCTGAAAGACCACATAAGGTTTCTGGCCAACAGCTGTACTCCTCAGTCAGCTGAGTGTTAAATTGAGGAGCTTGTTATAGGGTTTCTAAAGTTCTTTAATCTAAGAAATTTAGATTTTAACTGTATTATAATTTTGCAGTAGGTTTTTGAGGGGAAAAGGTAATTGGTGACAGGGGTGCTTAAAATCCATCTTAATACACTTGCTTTAATAAATACTTCAGAAATTAGACCCTCAGTGTTCAGTTGTCCTTTCTGTAGGGAATTATCTAGTACTGATTTCTCAGTAAATTTGTTTTTTAAAAAGTCTAGGCTAAGTTCTGAAATGTGTACATACACTTCAGATCCTTAAACCATGCGGTAACCCAATGAAATCGAGGGCATACATATCCCCGCATCGTGCCCAATGCATTATTCATCGGACGAAATCGTAGAAAACGTGCCCTGGTTTCTCTGTGCTGCATTCTCCTGTGAAGTCGTGGCAGGTTTGTCCCGCTTCTGTCAGAGTGCGCTTTCTATCACCTTGACGAGGGGAGTGACGATCGGTCCTGCCGTGCGGTGTGGGTCCGCTGAGGTCTTGCAGGTGGGCGCGTGGGTCCACCGGCACCTGGCGCGCACCTGGCGAGCTCTGGCAGGACAGGCCAGCCCGAGCGCGTGGCGGCCGGCGCTTCTCGTGGAAGAGACGCCTCGGGGGAAACCAGGGTGCTGGTGCGGGGAAGCCGGGGGCCCTGAAGGACCGGAGACTTGGCGGAGACAGCGGTGGGGGCAGGAGGTGGGGGTGCAGACCCCGGCAGCAGCAGAGAGGCAGAAGGCAGAAGTTCAGGATGTTCGGGCGGGACAGAAACAGCAGGCGGGGCTGCTGCCGGTGGGGAAGGTGCTGGGTGGGTTTGTGGCGGCCACAAAGTCACAGAGCGGTGACTGTGCTTACTGCCCCTGGAGAATGCCTGAGCCTGGCTTTCTCTCAAGAAAATAGCCAGGAGGGTTGAGATTACAACAGTGATTTCAGACTGTTAGCAACACGACTCTGAAATAGTTTAGCTAATAGGTAGGATCACAACACACAATACAGTTGACCTTTGAGCTGCACGGGTCTACTTATATCTGGATTTTTTTTTTCAGTACAATACTGTGAATGTATGTTAGGATTTTCTTAACATTTTCTCTAGCTTTATTATAGGAATATATAATAAATATAATATACAAAATGTGTGCTAAACAACTCTTTGTTATGGGTAAGGCTTCCAGTCAACAGTAGGCTATTAGTACATTTTGGGAGAGTCCGAAGTTCTACACGGATTTTCTACTGCACAGGGATCGGCACCCCGAACCCCCACATTGTACAGCCAGCCTATAACAACAGTCTGAATGTTAGGTCCCACCTTCATGTGAGGCAGCTCTCAGGAATCCAGGGCTCCAAGGGAGAACCTCTACCTGGGGAAGATCACAGCTGTTGCAGGAACAGGAGGGACTCGAAGTAGGGGACCCATCAGGAGGCTTGTGTGACCGGAAGGACCAGGCAGGATGACCAGAACGGGGACAGGTGTGCAGAATGTTCCAGAGCAGGCCCAAGCTGGCTGTAAGAGGCAGGGGCAGATGCCAAGTAGAAGAGTGAGCAGGCAGCTGGTAAAGGAGAGAACTGCAAACACGACGGAGGGGACAGTGACACCAGAGGGGCTGGCTTGGAGTTTCAGATGTTCGGGGACAGTTGGAAACAAGGGACTGTAACTGAGCAGGGGCGTCAGGCCGCTGGCCGGTTTTGGAGGCCAGTACCTGGTTGGGCACTTGAAACACGGCTGGAACCAGCAAGGAGGGACATGCGGCGGGAAGAAGGCCAAGCCTCTGCTCTGGAGAAAACAGCGACGTTTAAAGCCTGAAGGAGGGAGACGAGCCAGAAGCAGCACCAGTGGTGGGGGAGGAATGAGGAAGTCTTGGTGGGTGACCAGAGGCCACTGGAGAAGGAAGCTGCAGGGGCCCTCCCCGGGCTGGCAGACAGTGCGGGCTGTGTGTGTGTGCAGCGGGTCCCGCTCCCCTCTGCATCTCAGTGCCTCACGTCAGATTGGGGTCACTCACTGTCTGCCCTGGCAGCCCCACCTGCCCTTTCGTGAGGATCAAATAAGATAGAGCGGGACAGCAGTGGAAGTCCACTCAGGAGCTGGGCCATCGGAGTGTGCGGACGAGGCAGCCAAGGAAGAGGATTAAGCAGGCCCAGACCCTTGTTTCTCTGCTCAGCTTGAGGCCGGCTCTTTTGCAAACAAGTGCTTAGGGCAGGAGCTGAAGGCACTTAACTTTCCAGCCTCTGATTCTTGACCTTCTCGGCCACCTTAGTCAGAAACTTGGGAAGTAGGTTCTGAACACCAGCCGTGTATGCGGCATTGAGAAGGGCTGATAGGCACTTTTTTTTTTAAAAAAAAAAAGGCGTTTGACAAGATTATTCCCTTCAGATAATAGTAAGTGCTAATGCTTCTGTAGTTCCTACTCGATGCCAAGTACTCAGTACTTTACAAGTAAGAATGTATTTAATCCTCACAGCAACCCTATTAGGTAGTCCTGAGAAAAATCAGTGCCCAGGGACATTATTACGTAACTTCCCCAAAGTTGCACGGTGAGGGAGTGGCCAAGCCAGGTTGGAATCTGGAATCTTGGCTCCAGCATGGTGCTCTGAAGCCTGTGGGAGGCCGAGGCAGGACACACAGCACAGGAGCCCGCACAGACCACCCGTGCTCACGCGGTCCATGGAAGGAGAGCCTGTCGCTCGGTGCGGTCAGGAGATTTGACAGAGGCGGTGGAGTTTCCGGCAGTCGTAATGGATGGGTAACCATTGATTAATTAGCATTTATGCCATGCCCGACAGCCAACCTTGAGCCTTCATCACATCCAGAGAGGGGTGTCCCTGCCATGCCATCAAGATGGGATCACTAGGAGGACAATGAGTGGGCCAGGTGCTGGTGGGAGAAGGTTCTAGGTGAGGCATGAACAGCGATGCGAGTCCAGGGATGAAGCCTGAGGAAGGTGAGGACTCCCCCAGTTTGCCTGCGATGGCCCAGCCTGCACCTCTCAGTATCACTGGGTTATCTCCGTGTAACTCCTAAGGAGCTCGCTCTTCGGCTCCCCACACTTCAGGGCATGTGTGAAACCTTAGAATCCTTCCCAAGACTTTATGGATATGTAATTCTTCCTGGACATTGGTCCATCGCTCTCATGAGATTCCCAGAGGGGTCCATCCCTGTAATGGCACGGACATAAGGGGGGTTTTGCAACAAATGTTGGAGAGGTTGTGGAGAAAGGGGAACCCTGTCTTACACTGTTGGTGGGAATGCGAGTTGGTACAGCCACTTTGGAAAAGTTTGGAGGTGCCTCAAAAAATTAAAAATAGAGCTACCCTATGA